AGATCGGAGCACTTATGGTCATGTCCTGACTGACTTTCTACCCCACTAGGACATCACACAAGCGATAAACACCCGATTACACCAAGTGCCACCATGTGGATGAGGATCGCCGCGGAGAGGTCCCAGAAACCGCGTTCAGACAATTGGCCATATTTATGGCCTGCCTATATTGCGGCCCCTGGCAAAAGCAAGGGTGAGGCTTCAAATAACAAAACATTTCGTCCTAAAAAGGATGTTATGATTATTTTTGTATGGCCATGTCCTATGAAGATTGTCTTGAAAATGAGCAATGTTTTCTTTGTGTTATGCGACAGGACATTCGCCATATGCTATATGGCACACTGAATGCAGATGGGTGACTGCAGCACTGAGCCTCAAGGGCTCTGAATGTTGAAGAAGTTGTAGGGCATATTATGTCTTACTTCTAGATTGTATTCTAGAACAGGATAGCGTTATTACTATTATTTATGTGAAAACTACAATACACCTGACAACATCCACACACAGACAAGCGTATTCGTAGGAGTTCGTGAGATGGACCAATGGGAGTGCTCGGCCTTCCCAGCCCCGACACCGCTGTAAGCCATTTTCCCCACAGCTGCCATTTCCATTTTGGCTGAAATTCTTCTTAGAGTTATTCCAGTTATTAGGCCTGTGAGCTATCTTTTTATTGTGTCGTATTTTAGCTGGACGAGGTAAGTAATTATTGCATGAATATCACGAGTTTTATACAGCTTGCATGAATGAATTGTTGCTCTACATAAATATCAAGAACAACATTGCTAAAAGGCCAATAGCCCAGTTATCGTTTGCCAGCTTGCATTCGCCCAGATGTGGCCGATGACCAAAACAATTGAATAAACATCAGTTTAGAGAAAAGCACGGAGATAAACAACGCAGTTGCAGTTGTTTGATTGTAATTGGGGGGACGGAGGGAGAAGAAAGCAAAGAATTGAAACGGTGTGCTGCAGCCTCATTTCGGGGATCAAACGGGGAGGATACAGAGAGCGACGTGAAGATAAAACCATTGTCGACCGACATGTGATGTGATTTATGTTACTTACTCATGCTGACCCAGGTCCTTCTGTATATAAATAGGAGGATCTAACAGAGCCGTGGCTGACCAGACCAGCTGGTTACAGGGCTGCCAATACTTGGGTTTTTGATTTCATTCGATTGATGAGAACTCAGAAACAGCATGGTAAAAAAGCATGGTAAAAATAGATGGTAAAATAGACAAGAGTTAGAAACACAAGAATCCCCCCCCCCCCCCCAAAAAAAAAAAAAAAAACAAGGCAGCCAACATTGTCACGTACCAACTTGTTCCCATTTTAATAAAACACCCTGCTATCCAGATAGAGACAAAGAGACAATTTATAAACATAATATTTATACTGACTTTAGGTTGCCAATGTCAGATTTGGACATTGACAAAAGAACATGAAAAAAAAAAAAAAAAAACTAACCACTTGTGAGAAGAGATGTTTGACTCAAACTTTGAGTTTGAGAATGGCTATAAATAAAACCAGAAGAGATCGAGTAAGTCAGTAAACAATGTGATCACGAGAACTGTTGGAACAACACCCATCATCATCATGAAATGGTTTGGCCATCTAATGAATATGAAACCATTTACCAACAATGCCAGCAGCAAGAGCGTACATAGCACAACCTGAAAATCAAAACATCAAGAGGCAGGGGAAGTCCGAGAAGACGGATTGAAGGAGTCACTAACACCTTGAGACTGCATAACATCCTGGTACATCAAGCAACTGAGCGTGCCCTGGCTAGGCTGCTGATCATCTGATTAACTGTGACGTCTAGGGTCACTAGCAGATATCGACAAAAGAAAGAAAAAAGTTGAGAAATACACATGTCAAACTTTCCTCGCAGTCAGCCGCCCGAAGGCCTGTTGTATTGCAGGGGGCTTGGGTTCCCAGAGGATCTGGTTTTTTTTATATGACGCCTTGGGTCACATTTTGGAACCTTAGGTTTTTAAAAATATATTCTTATATAAAAGTGAATAAATGTTTTGCTTTGTAACTATAAATGTTTACTTTTTATCGATATTGGGTTTTTGTTTTTTGTGTATATGTATTGCTTAAGATTTTTGGTCAGTTTAGCTTGGGTTTTGATAAAAATTCCATTGGCAGCCTTGTTAGTTATTGTTAGCCTGGCAACCCATAATGATAACATCATTCACTTCCCCTTAGGTTACACTTTGATACACAGCACAGTTGTGCACAGATACATACTTTTTTTTGGGTAGGAAGATTGTAATCTTGTAATCACTGGGGGCAGAAGAACTTAATTAAAAAGTCTTAAGACACAACACAACTTTAGGGAGCTAATAAGAGAGAGTGACTCTGACTCGCAGTGTGAGCCTTTGCTCCACTGGGTCATCATGCTACACATTAGTACAAAAGTAAAACAAACAACATAACCTATTTACAAATAATGCGGCTTATATTACTTATAAGGAAGCAGACTGGGATCTGTTGCTCAGTTTTCAGCTAAAACAAGAATTTTGTTAACATAAAAGACACACAAAAGAGTCAGGAGGAAGCAGATGAAACACACAACGCATGACATGCACATGGACGAAATGGACGGGGAAGATGACACTGTGTACTAGTCTACATCTTGGCTGCAAGCGTCAGAGCAGTATTGGAGACATGTCCTGACACAGCCTCAGGGCCTGATGGTGTCAGATACAGCATCTTAAGTCTAAGCCTCAAGGAGACTGACACACTTGAACTATCCAGGGCATTTAACAAAAACATCAAAAAGTGGCATTGTTCCTGAGACTGGCTGCATAGGATAGGTACCTCACGCCCGTTACTAAGCCTGGGAAAGATAAAAAATAAACAGCTATAGAATCATCCCATTCCTGTACACTGTTGGGCAGGGCTATTCAGCTGGGGGCAGGCAGACTGGCCTCCGTAGGCCTAGCAAGTGACCTCCGGATGATTGCCATTTGTGTTGTGTAATTGATCATCCTATGCTACTGTTCTGCGGTATGAAAACTCATAAACAAAATGGTTGCCAGGATGTTGACACAAATTTATCTCAGCCAAGTCTCTAGATCAGTAATTAAGTCCTGATCATTTCTTTTTCTTCATCGTCCGTCCGAGTGATGTGAATATGTTGTTCCTGTTTACAGCACAGCAGCGATATTTAGAGCAGCCAAGTCTCTGGATTCATAAAATTAGGTCCTGATCATTTCTTCTTTCGTTTGTCAGAGTGATGTATATATATTGTGTGTGTTTACAGCATGGCTCGATAGTTAGAGCAGCCGAGTCTCTAGATCAATAATTAAGTCCTGATCATTTATTCTTCTTCATCGTTTGTCCGAGTGATGTAAATATATTATATGTGTTTACAGCATGGCTCGATAGTTAGAGCACCTGAGTCTCTAGATCAATAATTAAGTCCTAATAATTTATTCTTCTTCATCATTTGTCAGAGTGATGTAAATATATTGTGCGTGTTTACAGTTTGGCTGCAATATTTAGAGCAGTCGAGTCTCTAGATCAGTAATTAAGTCCTGATCATTTCTTCTTCTTCATCATTTGTCCGAGTGATGTAAATATATTGTGTGTGTTTACAGTTTGGTTGCAATATTTAGAGCAGCCAAGTCTCTAGATCAGTAATTAAGTCCTGATCATTTCTTCTTCTTCATCGTTTGTCCGAGTGATGTAAATATATTGTGCGTTTACAGCTTGGCTGCAATATTTGCTCCTTTCAGCCAAGAATTCTTCGGGAAGTTGTTATCGGGGTTAGTCCTGATCATTCGAAAATACATTTATGATGCAGCTAAGAACTACTGGACTTGGCAATGGGTGACTAATTTCTGTGTTCAAACATATTGCAACTAAAATGTTACATAACATTGATCAGAATGCGGTGGATCAAGAAGAAAAATATTACAATTTTTTACAAGATCTGAACATGACAAAAAATATTTAGGTGGCTTATAAATAATTTTCTGTCTAAAAAGCTAAAATACTCAACACACACAAAATGTACTAGTGATTTAGATGTAGCGTGCATACTCAACCAACACACGCATGTTTCTATCTTTTGCCTTGTGCAGCAGGCACCATCGGTCTCTAAATTACATACATTTTCTACATTTATTTAAAATAATTAATGTTAAAATGATTGTTGACAACTTGACAGTCCGCCATGCTAGTTAATTCCTTCACTCCCAGTCAGTTGTTAATTAATCTCATTCTATCCTATTTAGTCATTATTTAAAACTTTCGTGCCTGAACTAATTGTGATCCACAACACAATATGCCAACCATTTTTTTTACTGGCGAGTGCAGAAGAAGAATAAGAGTAAGCAGGCAACATGCTAATTTTATATATAACAAACAGACAGTGTAATGATGAACACTCATAGGAAGAAAAGACACTCTGTGCAACATAAAAATTAATAGCTATAGTTAATGTGCTAGGAATCAAAGCTGCTGCCTCCAAACAGTGAATGTGTCTCACTGTGAAAACAAGTGTAATAGGACGCATGACCAGTTAAAGGTTAGTTGTGTATCCTTTACAGGACGTTGCAGAACCAACCCCAACAGCCCCTGGCTATTGTGTAGTTTTTTTCTAGGCAAATTTACCTCCAGTAATTTGCCATTGCTTTCTGAATGGTCGGCTTTCTTGATACCACTGTCGAAACCAACGCAAGGCGCATGGCCCGCAGCTGGGATCGAACCTGGCATCCCAGCATTATGAAGGCATGACCAGTAGTCACCCCTAAAAAGGTGTCTTCATAAGCTGTCTCTTATACAGCTTGAATCCACAACTGTGGAATACAGACATAATTCATCTCAAACCATCAAAATGGCACTATAGGTTACATCAATTTATAAAATATATAATATTTCTGTAGCCTCAAGGGTTACCCTCTCTATTTCAACATATTATTAGTTTTGTATATTTAAAAAATCAAATGACTAGAGAATACTTCTTGGTTCCCAGACAGCAGCCACATGGCAGATCAGGACAGTGAGACTGACCAGGCTGATGCGGAGCAGAGTGTGTTTGAGACAAACGAAGATGAAAGCTATAACGAAAATGGTGGTGATGCTGATGCAGTAGACACAACAGCAGATTTTCTGAGGATTTTTCAAGGGAAAACAGAGTTTGACAGTTGGGAGGAGTTTACCACACTCTTTGAAGAGTTTCAGAAAGAAACTGGGTCAGGTAAATACAAATGTATTTATACAATTTATTATGTAATGACAACATTAGTGAAGTTAGAAGAGCTGTCCTTAATTTTTTTTTTCAACGGCTGGTCTCTGCAATATAACGATGTAGACTGTTTGACAGAAATCAAAAGGAGGATTGCCAATACAGTGCAAAAATAAACAGCATCAAAAGTCTGTGGTTAAGCACCAGCAAAAAAGTCAAAATTGAAATTTTGAAAGCATGTATCTTCCCTATAGCAACATACGGATTTAAGTCATGGACTTACCCAGTCATTAAGAAAGAAAATAGGGTTTTTTGAGCTGAAATGCTATAGAAAGATTCTCGGGATACCATGGACAAAGAAGAGGAGAAATACTGAATACTTTTAACAGTGTGAACATCAAGGAAGATTAGCTGATAAACAGCGCCTTATCTTGGAAACTGAAACATTTTGGTCGTATCAAACGCCATGGCGGATTTGAAAAATAATCAGGAAGGAGGAGCAGGGGCCAACCGACACGAAGATGGGCACAGGATATATGTGACTACGGGAATATGAAAGTACATGAGGCGGGAGAGCTGGCAAGAGACCGAGTTTCTTTCAAGCAGACTGTGATGAGAGCGACGTTCTGCAGAGTACCTGCCCAGGGCTTGTGCTGTGGAAGGGAGAAACTTCATCCCTGGTCCTGTACAATAGTTTTAACTTATGACGTCACGGAAGACATTCAAATAATTTCCAGGGTAGTAAGGTTGGGGGGATTTTTCCCTTCTAGAGTGCATCGCAAAAGCACCCGCTTGTTGGCGCCTCTTATGATGTGTGTTTACCGCGCGTCAGCAGTCTTCATCTTTGCCGAGTCTGTTTGCAACAGTTTTCTTCTTTGTTTGCCGTTCATTCCAGCCATGAATTTTCTACAGTTAGTAGCATCTGTACGAGACAAGGAGATCAGCATTGCCTTCCTGCAACAGCATGGCATTCTGCACAGATCAGGGTGTTGCAGAAACAACCATCAGATAGATGGTGTACTATGGCTGTCGGAAAGACACGACCGTTTGCGGTATCGAAAGTCTACCTGTCGTCTAGTCAAACCTGTATGGCAAATTTCGGACCACTTTCCGGCGACTATACCGCCACTGCCAAGAGTATCCCCCATGCCGCTAGGCGTGGCGCGGAGGGAGGCTAAACTAGATAGCTGGGACTTACTAGCAGCAGCTACCGCATCTCCTACAGCTTCCTCCATTTTATTTGCTCGTGAGATTCAGCCATTTAGTTTAGCCTCCCTTCTCGGTGCGGGGGATAATACTCTCAGCGGTGTCGTTATAGTTGCCAGAAAGAGGTCTGCAATTTACATGTGACTGAGGCCCTTTTAAAAGTTTTTTGGCCTTGATAATTTGGGACTGTTATTCGGAGGATAGCCAAAAACACAATTTACATTTAATAAAAAAAAAAAAAATAAGTCACATCGGGATTGAACGCAACCTTTCATTTGTAAGGCGGATATGATATTAACTACACTACACATTTTCATGACAAAATGTTATAAATACATGACCAGTATTGTACACCGGGCAATTGCGCATCAACTAGACAGATATATGCCACACTAAAAAAACACCAGAAGAGAAATGACAGCAACAGCACACTTGCACCCCTTGAAATAGTGGATTGTCTAGTCAGCTGTGGAATTTCCACGGATTCTCTCTGTTTGGGGTGCGTAAAAAATATTGTACCCCTGGCCCTAGTTGGTATCACTCTGGGTGAGGATTTTCTTGCATCTGTGTAGCACAATGGGACACTGTCATCTGCAAAAACCCAAAGGTGCAGGCAACTGTGGTCATAACCCACTGGAAAAACCTGATTTTCTCACCACTTCCACTGTCACACCTGCCCAGGATATCTTTGGCTCATTGTTCATTTCTCTTCTTCTTCTTCGCGTTCACCAGCTGTAAACTCTGGCGGAAGGTTCTGGTTGCTCGTCTACTACTGAACTGCAGTCCTGCTCCAGAACCTGAGTGTTGCGTGTGCATCAGTTTTACAGATCTCATTCTCTTGAATACAGACTGTTGGTTCCTTGCCTCTCCGGCAGACGCACTCCGTCTTCAAAAGAAGCTCCCCAATTAGTTGACTCTTACAACATGCTTTTGGGGAGGCAGTGGGTCTATTCTTGTTTTCCCCACAATGGGGCCCCGGAACCCACACAGGGGATTGTTCATTTTAAAGATCATCTTCATCGCAGGTTGGTCATGACCATAAGTCGTCCGAATCTCCTCCTGAGTATGTCTCCAAGTCTTTTTGGCCTATTAATTCCCATTCTGTACCAGCTGATGTAACAACAGGTGGCTCCCGCATGATTTCCTGCCTGGAAACTCCAGTTAGTACACCCAGGGTGTGCAACCTGTTCCAGCATTGTGCTGGTGATAGCTGACATATCTATCAAGAATCTTGCCTTCCATTATTCATCTTTCTAATCAGTTGAGATATTTGTTAGAGCCAGAGAACCTTTTCAAGGAATATGCTATTTATGTGACAGTTTTCTTCTTTTTTTCACACAGAATTGGTGGCACAAATGGGAACAGGTCATCCTATTTTATCATTTTGATGTCTAAGTCTATCTGAAGCCCTGTTGGGTTTTCTTCCTACAGTGATTTAAAACTTTAAATTGCTGTTACCCTTATAAGAAAAAGATTCCTGTATGGCATTGCTATTCATCTAAAGCTTACTCCGGTACATACATTTTGAAAATGGGCATCATCACAGGCCAGAACCCTAGCATAGAAAGATCATTAATACAATAGAGCTGAAGATGATCTGCAGGCCACTTGCTAGTCCATTGCGGGCCACATCTGGCCCGGTGGCCGCCGGTTAAAAAGCCCAGCTACATGGGTTCTAGAGCTCACATTTGGGGGGTGGGGGATATAAGCTCTTACCCTACCTTCCCCCCCCCCCCCCAAGAAGGGTGGCAAAAAATGGCTTATTTGAGGTTTAAGAAATCTAATTAAAAGATTCAGATGTCTGATGTGTCTGATTTTTACCTTTCCACAATCTTGTTTAACATTGGCCTCCAGGTAACCCAGCCTAAACTGGGTAGCAGGTAATGTCCTGGGAAATTAAGGTGGCCGTGATGATATTTGACCACAAGTTAAAGAACTTTCTGTTGTATTGTGAAATAAAGAAAAGGGATAACTGCAAAGTTTATGTTCAAAGAAGTGGTGGTCGTACATGACTCCAGACTATATTTGTAGTTTTGGTGTTAGTAATACATGTTAACACTCTGCCATCTGCAGCTTTCAAACCAAAGTCGGCCACTAGCATAGAGTATGCAAATGAACGCAGGGTAAAGGACAAAATTCCAGAACGATTCGTCTACCAGACAGTGAAGATGGTATGTCAGAACTATGGAAACCCAGTGAAAAGGAAAGGTAGTACTCGCAACGTCAAAAAGTAAGTGCATATTAATGTATTTACAATTTCTGTAGGAATATATTTTTGTCGAGCTGATAGCAGGCCACTATAAGTACTGGTATGTTTTATTCTAGATATATGGTCTTGTATGTGATGCAGTCGGCTCTGTGGCTAAGTCGATGCGAACACTTCGCTTCGTAATGCCGGGATGCCAGGTTCGATCCCAGCTGCGGGCAATGCGCCTTGCGTTGGTTTCGACAGTGGTATCGTCCAGAAAGCAATGGCAAACTACTGGACGTAAATCTGCTTAGAGAAACCACACAACAGCCAGGGGCTGTTAGGGTTGGTTCTGCAACGTCCTCTAGAGGATACGCAACAACCTTTAATGTGATGCAGCGGTTAAGTACTGGTATGTTTTATTTTAAACATGTGGGTCTTGTATATGATGTAGTGCTTAAGCACTAGTATATTTTATTCAGGATTTATGGTTTAGTATGTGATGCAGTGTTCAGCACTGGTGTTTTATTCTAAATATATGGGTCTTGAATGATTGGCAGTGGTTAAGTACTGGTATATTTTTAACTAGACATGTGGGTCTTGTGTGTGGGGCAGTGTTAAGTACTGGTGTTTTTCTCTCTAGATTTATGGGTTTTGTAAATGATGCAGTGGTTAAGTACTGGTATATTTTTAACTAGACATGTGGGTCTTGTGTGTGGGGCAGTGTTAAGTACTGGTGTTTTTTTTCTCTAGATTTATGGGTCTTGTAAATGATGCAGTGGTTAAGTACTGGTATATTTTTAACTAGACATGTGGGTCTTGTGTGTGGGGCAGTGTTAAGTACTGGTGTTTTTTTTTCTCTAGATTTATGGGTCTTGTAAATGATGCAGTGGTTAAGTACTGGTATATTTTATTCTAGATATATGAGTCTTATTTGTGATGTAGTGGTTAAGTACTAATATATTTTATTCTAGATATATGAGTCTTATTTGTGATGTAGTGGTTAAGTACTGGTATATTTTTTTGCAGATACGTGGGTCTCGGATGTGAGGCAATGGTTCATCTCCGCTACAAAGGAGACTCTCTCAACATTGTCAGCTGTAATCTGGAACACAGAAATCACAAATTATTCTCAGGATCTGAAATCATTAGGTATGATAAGTACACTGCCAATTAAGAACCACTGACAGTTTTGAAATGATACGAGACATTTGATTAATCAATACAGAATGGGCACAATCAGTTGTTTTATGCTTATGGAGCTATTGTGGAGATTTAAGCACCAATAGGTGTGTCCGGGGTGATTTGTTGATAGTAAGTAAAAAAAAGTAAAGATCCCTTTTAATAACCAGATGAATGCTGATAGCTCTGTAAAAATTCTGTGGCAGTCACCTCGTGCCCAATTGTGCCTCAAAGTTAGAACAGTGTCCGGGAAGCAGAGGAGCTAAATCACACATGGTGGTGCACCAGGTCAAGGGCTGACACTGGTCAAGACCTGCCTATACTTCTCTGTGGTCGTCCCAGAAACAGGTGACTTGCCAGGAGCCTGGCCAGTGTAGAGAGGATTGTCGTTTCCTTTGAAGTCAGGGTGCACCTGCTTGAGAGGCAAGGAACCTACAATCTGTGTACAAATAACCAGATCTGCTAAACAGATGTGCACACAACTATCAAGTTCTGAAACAAGACCACAGTCCAGAAGTGAACAGACAACCATAACTTTCTTTCAGAGTTTACAGCTGGTGATCGCGAAGAAGAAGAAGAAGAAGATGTGAGGCACTAAAAGCCATTTAGATGAGCTTCTTTGGAACACTAAAAATAAGCTCACGTGTGACTGGTAGATCATTGATGAAGTGCTGGAGGATACACATTTTCTGGGACACAGTAGTAAAAAAGGGGATAGAGAACATTATGACTGCCAGAAAAACTACGGGAGCATATGGGAAAAGATGGACTGATGGAAAGATGTGAGACAAGAGAAGAAGAAGAAGAAGACTTGGGTCTTTTACCAATTCTTTTAAAATATAGTAATAAGTTAACTCTTTCAGTCCCGGGTACTGTTATTTCAGCTTATTATTAGCTGTGCCTTTCTGTCAGTATGAACAACATGGATGAAAGCCAAAAGGAAGCCCATGATGGGAAAACAAGTCTACTGGACGTCAAATCCAAATTAAGAATTGGTTTCTGGAATGTAAGAACCTTGTTTGAAACGGCCAAAACCACCCAAGCAAAAGAAAAAGAAGGGGGTGCCCAAAAACAACATGGAGATGAACGATAGAAAATGAACTGAGTGCGGCATCTCTGACATGGAAAACTGCACTGAAGATTGCATAGGGCAGGAAAGCATGGAAAGTCCTCTCTGAAGTCTCATGTGCCACTAAGCATAAAGAGAACTGAATATTATCTGTGCAGTTGTTAACATAAACTAATAAATGTTTGATGTTGTTAAAATAAACTAATAAATGTTTGAATGTAAAGTATCTCAGACAATAACATTATGAGACATGTGTGATTTAAATAACAAGTGGTATGTAAGGAGTTAATTAAAAACATGGATGTATTGCAGAGTTAAGAACATCATCAAACTAGAAATTCCTTGTGTAGGTTCCTGGGCTGTGTTTGAGGGAAACAAGAATAGACCCACTGCCTCCCCAACAAGCATGTCGTAAACGTCAACTAATAGGGGGCTTCCTTCGAGTTCATTGAAAGGCAGGAACCATCAGTCTGCATACACAAGATCTGTAAAATAGATTTGCACAAAAAAATTAAAGTTCTGGAACAAGACTAAGGTCCAGAGATGGATGAGCAACCCGAATTTTGTGATGGGGTTTACATCTGGTGAACGCAAAGTGGAAGAAGATACTAAAAATAACTGATAAGTACACAATACATTCATTGGTATTGAATGAGTTAATGTCATAGCGCTGTGGGCCATTATGTATTATTAACTTTTCTCCATCCAGAAATGTCCGATCATTCTCCTTCACGGATGACATTGACTTCCTGATAGCAAAAGTTGTCCTGGAACACAACCCTTTTGCTTCGTGGAACTCTTTTAAAGAATGGCTGTTTTTAGTCGAGGACCTGCGCAGCAGAGATGTCCGCTTGAGGACTGTGACAATTCGTGTGGTCAAGAAAAGAATCAGATTTCTCATTGACAGATACATGGCCAATAGTAATGGCAGGTAAGTGGAGCTACTATTCTTTTAACAACATGATAGTACAACAGTTTAACCCTGAAAATAAAACCAATTTTCAAATTCATGTGTTTGGAGTTTGAAGTTTGAACAACGAATGAACATCGTGGCACACGGGTAGTAACCCATAAGTGCTCAATTCTTCTTCTAACTCAAATCTGAGTCCGAAGAAGCTCAGCACAGTGCACAGGCTCTGTAGCAGCGGTGAGGATCCTGAAATACTTTGGGTAGATTCTCAACTCCAAATTTTGCCTGAGCAGCGCCGTTAGGCTACTCTTTTCGATTTTCAACTGCCAAGGGATGTTTTATTTGCACAACAATGCACACTGGCATCCAATCTCACCACCCAGAGATCAGAGGGAACTACTAGAAGTCCACGTGAAATAATCCCAATATCTTACCGGTAAAACCGGGAGCCTCTGGCACTCGATGCGGACACCATGCCTCGAGACCACGCAGCCAGTTTTGCTCTAAAGACACACTGAGGCTTATTTTCTTTGCTAATCTCTTTTTCTTCAGAAATCTACGTTTATTCAAGGAAAACGTGTGCATTTATTCTAAAACAGTCACGGTCATCATCTCCTTGTGGAATGTTTTTATAATTCAGTACAATCCATCGTGTGTTTCAGTGGATGAACGATATCCGTCTGCCATGCTGACGATCACGACTAGGGCTGATATTTGGGTTGGGTTTTATTTTCTGGGAAACACTATTATTATTGTTGCGGACCACAGAGTGGTGTAGTGGCTTGACACTTGCCTTCAACCCCAAAAGCTGTGAGTTTGAATCTGCATCGAGTCAGATCTTTTGGAAAATGACCTTGGCTTCCAGGTTGATCCAGCTCAAAGATGGGTCCCAGATAATGGTCTGGGAAGAAAAGATGGCTGACATGATGTTGACCACATAACCCATGAGGGCCGATCGGTCTGTAGAAATAGGAGGTGACAGGTTGGATTCCTGGCACTGTATCTTTGGCTTTCAATTTTTATGTTGTCTAGCATATCCCTCTGTCTTTGGCCCGGCTCTCTAGCGTAGTTGGCTAAACCGGCCTGCGTGGTGACCGGCTGACGAACTCCTTGTGGTCCGGGTTCACTCCTGGGGGTAGGCAGAAAAGCCACATTTTCTCCCAGATTTACGGTACCTGTCATGGAGTCAAGGCCGAAGGGTTGCGATATCCATAGTACCGAGCCAAAGGGTTAACAACTCATGGTTTCTGGATATAAAAACAAACAAACATTCCTCTACCTTTCTACTTCTTTCTGTGAGTGCTGATCAATACATTGTCTCTTTGTTTATTATATGTTTGCTCGTCCAGGCCCCCGCTACCAGATGATGAGATGGGGATCATCTTGTACGAGTTAGCAAAAGCAAAGCAGGACGCCATGGATAACATTCCTCAGCAGCCAGTGAAGAAAAGAGGCAGGGGCCGGCCCAGGAAGAAGGAAGTTGAAGAAACAGACGAAGAAGAAGATATACAAGATTCACAGATGGACCTTGACGACTCTCCCACATATACAGGTAAGTGTGTTGTTTTTCTGATCAGGTGATCTTTGTTCAGTTTTCCTGTCAGTTGACCTTAGTTTAAATAAAATAAAATAAAAATTAAAAACTATGTACACTAGTGGACTTTAAGCATATGATTCTAGACCAGTCAGTCTGGGAGGGGGAGAAGCAGGGAAATATGTGGTTTCCAGTTAATTGGGGGGGGGGGGAGTTTCCAAATAATATGGGGGAAGAGCAGGGAAATATGCAGTGTTAAAATATTGGGGGGGGGGGGGGGGGGGTATTTTAGCGGGTCCGGAAGTGGATAGATGCTTTTGTGATGAGTAGGAATTTTTCTTTTCAACACTTCACCTCCACCACAGAAACTAGACTATTATCCGAGCTATGTTGATCTCAGACAAAGTCCTGGATATCCAAGAAAACAGCCATATTTGGCTCATCATGTAAATACTCACAGGAGTAGGAGAAGGGATAGATAGATATCAATATGAACCCTATGAGATAATATCAAGATACACAGTTAACCCCTCTGACTTTCTCCTCTCCTGGTATTAATAAATAAAGAGCTCCCACCAAATGTAATTTTATCTAACAGTTTAGTTAAACAGGTAAGACTGAATACACTTGGAATTTAACAAACGATTTAGTATAAAACTTGACATACAGCTTTATTTACTAACAATCATTTAAATGAAATTTACCAGTTTGTTATGTTTACACAAACAGTGACTGGCTGATGGTATGATAGTGATGAGATGCTTCAGCTAGAAAACTGAGCACCTGGGATTAGAGTGGTGTGATGATGGTGATAAGTTTACAAACAGTGTGTGGGCGTAACTTTGTTATAAAACCTCTGACAGCCGTGAGGCACTGTCAAGCTTTTCCACCTCTTCCAGCTTCTATCCAACTGGTTCCACCTCCTTCTCTGCCTGGTTCCAGCTTGTTCTCCGCCTGTTCCCAGCTTGCTAATCTCCCACAACGTAGGTTCGTGCTTGTGACACTCTGGTTCTGCTATTAGAGCAGCCTGGTCTTCACCACGACGGGAGCTGTAAAACAAACACATATGTGTAGTATCTATACTTACAGTAAGCATTTATATACCAATACAATATATATATACTGGAGAGAATGTGGAAGATAAGGAGGAGAGATGTTATGTATGTATGTATGTATATATATATATATATATATATATATATATATATATATATATGTGTGTTTGTGTGTGTGTGTATATATATATATATATATATATATATATATATATATATATATATATATATATATATATATATATATATATATATATATATATATATATATATATATATATATATATATATACACACACACACTCACACAAAACATCTCTCCTCCTTATCTTCCACATTCTCTCCAGTCTAGTCTGAAGATCTTATGTCTCACATTGACGTCACATATCCTGCCTTCCCTCTCATGTACTGTCATGATAGTTGACTTCCTAAGTCTGCTGTCCATCTTCACTCAAGACTTCCAAACTGGCTGACATTGTTTTTACATGAACACATGGAGCAGGTTATGTGCTGAAAACTTAAACCATTTTATAGGTGCATGTTGTCTGGAATATTGTCTTTCCAGTGAGCACATGGTGAGCTAACAAAACGCAACCACATGGCTACACATGTGGGCATGATTTTCCCACAGTCTGAGCACATATTTTGGGTTGATAATTGAAACAATATAATTACATTTCATTATAGCAAATGTCATTGTTCACATCTCATTTTATACACATAAAAACATATACTGAAAAACATGTGATACAAACAAATAAGAAATAGGAATGGTTTAGCAGTTCCCTAACTGAGATAACTGAATATACACAAAGAACTATTTCAAGCAGAATATGTAGAAAAATTAGGAAAGGAAGAATAGACTAAGCTAGCTCCTAACCTGTGAATAAAAGATTGAAAATAATATACACTCATACCTGGGAACATTCCAGCAATTGCCAAACATTAACAGCTAGACTTACTTTCTAGTGGTCTGAGTTTGTGGCTTGCTGGCAGCACTATGAGGTAACTTGACTTGATGTTGAAAAAAAAATGAAAAACTGGGACTTTTCAAGGTAACCTGAGGGTCTTCCTTATAGTTGAGTCCGTTTTTTATGGGCGGTTTTCGTTTCTATCTTTTTGTGGCGTGTTGGTCCGCCTGGCCATCCTTGGTTGGCGCATGGATGCCACCTGTTATTGTGCTGATTCTGTTGTTTTTGCTGGTTGTCAGACACGCTGTCAGTTTTTGTACCAAGGCTGTATCCTGGTTCACCTCCCCAAAGCAAAAGAGCTTATCATTTTGCACCCTTCAGAGCCCCACATTTAAGTTCTTTTGGAGCTTTTATTGTTTCGCAATAAACATTTGTATTTGCGTTAGCTGTGCCAGATTTTTTTTTAAAGGCCTAATTCTGTTTTTTTGGCTCAAATTCAGTCTTTTGGCTCTCTTTTTAAAAATTTTTTTTTTTTTTTTTTTTTTTTTTTCAAAATTGTGTGTGTTCAGTGTAGTGATTGCAAGCTTTGCTTTGTGGGTATTTGTGTACGTGTCTTTTTACAAATGATGCCGTTTGTGTGTATTGTGTGTTTTGTGCAAAATAATTTTCATACATGGACATTGTGCATAGCATAAATATAGAGGTAGAGGTATTGTAACACAGAGGAGAAAAGAACTGGAGGGCGTGAAATGCTGCCAAGGACATAAAGTGAGGTCAAAGGACTGAGAGAGACGGATAGCTTGCTAGGTAAGGGAAGAAGGAAATCACGTCTGGGTGACCCTGCCACGGTCTTCTGGGTGGATTTCTGGTGTCGATTCTCTCGTCTGTTCCTTTCGCGTTAGTATGCCACCCCTCCTTTGGTTCTACTGATAAACTGCTTCACCAATTTTTGTAGGGGTGTGCTGCAGTTCACGTGAAGGCAGGCCGAGATCGACATAGGTTGTTTGGTTTTTTCAAAGTGGGTTTTTAGGTCAGCTCTGTGAACTTTGAATCTGTCACAGGTGAGCAGGTAGTGGTCCACTTTGTTCAACACCAAACATTCTGTGCACATGGGGCTGCTGGATTTGTCTTTCCAGAAGCCCAGTCTAAGTCTCCATAGGTAGTTGACTGTGGGGATCTTTGTTGGTTCCCTAGCTTGCGCCTTGGTCCTGGGTTTTTTAAGTAGCCTGAAGGCATGCCTGCCTTTTTTGCTGGTCGACCACCTATGGATCCATTCTGTCTTGGTTTTTCTAGCAATCAGGGCCTTACACTCGTGCCTGCCTAGTCCGCAGTCGAAAAAGACTGGGCTCACGAGCCCTTTTTTAGCTGCCTGGTCTGCCCGTTCATTGCCAGGGATACCTTTGTGGGCCGGTATCCAGCATAAGGTTGTGGGGCAGCCCATGTCGCTAAGTCTGGTTGTAGCCGCCAGGATCTTTTCTATAATGTCTGGCCGGCTGCTTTTGCCGATTGATTTGAGCGCCATTACAGCCGCTAGCGAGTCGGTGTATCCGTCCGTGTAGGCTGCCAGGGCATCTGTTGAGATTGAGTTGATGTGGGCCTCTGCAACTCTCCTGACTTCGCTGGGGTCTGCGTTCTTGAGCACTTGTTTGGCTAGGCTGGTGTCAGTCGTGGGTAGTACAATCTGCCACGGCAGCAGTGTCCGTTTGAACTTTTTGCAGTTATTGATTACGTCTGATGAGGTAAATTTAAAATGCTAGCAGTATACTAGCAAAGTTAACTCCTCCCCTTTCTAGTATTTAACCTGTCCTACCGGAGATCTAAGCCACGCCCCAGAAGTACCTTGCAGATCAAATTAGCTATCAAGGTGCCTGTCAGTCAACTCTTATTGACATCCCTCTGATCAAACATTCTTAAGTGGTAAACATCTAGTCCCAGACCTTGTCACTGACAGGTGTGAAAAGACCATCAGGGAAGCCATTGTGTCTGGAGTTCCCTACTTGACCATGTTAACTACCCTTATCTTATCAGTTGAAAGGGCCCAATCTGGCTGGTTATGTAACCACTTTATGACTCTCTGTGGTCTGGTCTGCAGTTCAAGGAAGATAATCTTAGGGGGGATAATTATGACTGAGTTGCCCTCCCCTAAGGGTCTCTGGTCAGGAGATAATTACATGCCACTTGAGTTCTACAATCAAACCCTACAGCCACTATGTCTGAACTTTCCCAGGTGGACCAGCTGGCTATATTAGGTAATGTTATGTAATATTGAACAAAATCCTGGCTGTGTTGTCTGGGCTAAGGACTGAAACAAATTTTAACAATTTTTAAATCCAATGTGGTTCTAGTAATATTCGGGTAAATATAATTAATAATATAATACTGGGGGGATTGGGGAAAATATGTAGTTTCCAAATAATGAGGGGATATATAGTTTCTAGATAATGGAGGACGAGAGGGGGTGGGGGTTATATGGTTTCCAAACATTGAGGGAGGGGGATATATAGTTTCCAGATAATGGGAGGGGGGAAACGGGGAAAATGTGCAGTTTCCAATAAGTAGGGGGGGGGGTGGGTCTGTTCTCCCACCCCCCTATACAGACCCACCCCCCTACAAAGGGACAACAAACCCCCACATGGGTAGATGCTGAAAATATGTCAGAGCGCTTATGGGATCTTAGTTGTGGTGATGTAAGTTCTTAATTAATCACAGTTTATCTGAGATAAGGACAATTCTGAATTTAAATTCTATAGATATTTTATATTGTGGGTTATATATAAAATGTGTGTATAATCATGGACTGATATATAGTTTCAGGATCTGCATCAGCTGAGAAGTTGAAACCAAAGAAGCCAGTGACAGCAACAAGTTCCTTTGGGAAAGACATCTTTGCCTTTCTGGAGTACATGGAGAAGAAGGACGAGGAAGACAAAAAGCTGAAGCAGCACGACATTGACCTCCGGCGTGAAGAGCTGGAACTTCACAAAAAAGAATTTGAGTTACAAAGGGACAGGTTTTATTTTGATCGAGTGGAGAGACAAACACATCTAGACCTGCTAAAGGCACAGCTGGAGATTTTTGCAGGGCCAAAGCCAAGGCACATTATTCAGGAGAGCAAAATCGATCCAAACGCAATTACAGAATATACTATTGTATTGAATAACGACCATGTGGATTCATTTAACAGTTTAAGGAGTTACGTCTGTGAGTGTTTGGGTGATCTTTTGACAAGTGTAGATAAGAGCTGTATGTATAATATCACGCTAAATACCGTGTCCCTCCACAGTTGTTTGCACCCTGTGTTTTGATAGGTGACTATTCTTGAGGCATCAGAGATGTGGTTTTACAGAAGAATGCTTAAAATACCTTGGACAGCCAAAAAGAGCAACCAAGAGGTTTTGAAAGAGGGGGAAGCCCAAAGACAACTTATCACGGACATCAGAAGGAGACAGTCATAAATTTTTCGGCTATGTTATAAGAAGAGGGAAAATGGAACATGTTACCACTGAAAAGATCTGTGGAAGGAGGGATAGAGGAAGACGAGAGACACTTCTTGACAGTCTTGTTGCATGGCATGGAGGTGTATCGGCACATGAACGATTGATATTGATATATGCTGCAGGAGATCCCTGATTGTGGAGAGGCAAGGTACCTAATGATGATGATTATTGTGTCTCTTTATCAGTTCAACGATTCCCTCTGCTGTCTCCCTCAGTCTTTGTGGTTGCTGCATCATTCTCTAATCTCTTCCTCAATCTTTCTATCTGCTGCATGTTGGTAACCTCTCTTTTCTCATCCCTCTCTCCTAGTGCTTCTGTTCTTTCTGCTGTCTTGCTTAACTTTCTCAGTCTTCTTGGCTGCTTCATCAGTCTTGAATCTTTCTTTTCTCATGTTTTGCCGCCAATCTGTTCTTTCTGCTATCCTTATTCCCGTAGTCTCCTTGGCTGATCCGTCATTCCCTAATCTCTCTTTTCTCATCTCTCTCCATCACTGCATCTTTTTCCTGTGTTGGCGTAACTCCTGCAATCTTTCTGGCTGTCACACCGTTCTCTTACCTCCTTTTTTTCTCCTAGTGTGTCCCAGTAAATGATGGGATGAGGGTCCTAGTTAGGAACCTGTTTCCAGGATGACCATGGAGAGATGTAGACAGGTCTGTCCCAGTGTGAGCTCTGGTCCCAGTGCATCAGGTGTTGTTCACAACCACTGACTGCATCCTGTGTCTCACACAAAGTACTGACTTCTGCATGATCGACAAATAGCATCTACTCTACAGTCATTACATTTGTGGTTCAGTGAAAGTGATCATCATCATCATGTGTCATACCGTTAAGCAGAGACAGTAATATTTCACCTCCTTGCACGATAACCAGTCTCAGATCAGCTCTGTGCTCTTGTTATGTGGGTACTTGGATTGACAACTGCCATCTACTCTACAGTCATTACATTTGTGGTTCAGTGACGGTGAAGGGGATCATCATAATCATGTGTCACGCTGTTAAGCATAGACAGTAATATTTCACCTCCTTGCACGATAACCAGTCTCAGATCAGCTCTGTGTTCTTGTTCCATGGTTACTATATGATCAAGACATCCACATGTGTATTTTTTTCCCTCTTCTTCTTGCTCTTTACCCCCATCAGGTCTCATGGATAGCAAAGGAGTATAATTGGTGAGAGCTGTCATATCACTAGAAGAAATTTCAGCGGTGGCAAAATAATTTGTGGAGTTAGTAATTTTGGTGGGCATTTGTGTTTGCAGTGGCTAATTTACCCAGTAGCTCTCTGTTTATTTGTACAACTTGTTGGTGAAGTGTAAATATTTATGTCTTTATGCAAATAAAGATTTGTTTTTAAGATTATTTTCTGTAAGTTTAATCTCTTCTTCATTTGTACCAGTGACTCAGGTGTTTTCTGTAAGTTTAATCTCTTCATCATTTGTACCAGTGACTCAGGACAATGTTTCTCTAGCAACATATTTAGAACATGAAGAGTATTGTCGGGACTGAGCTTCGAGAGGCAGGGGGTAAGAAGTGTTGGTGTTGTGGGTAGTGGGTTCCCCCCCCCCCCCTACTTCACTCTAGGTCTAGTGAATATCTGTTCACGAAAGGAGCGTCCATTGTGGTGTCAGCCTCTTGACCTAGCAAAACCTCTCTTACCTCAAGACCATTGTGCGTAGTGAAGAGTCACAGCCTCCCCGAGGTAGTCCTGGTAACTGGGGGTGCGAATCCCTAGGCAAAACACAATGGATCTAGAGGAGCAAACCTCGATAATAAACCCGGTGCACCACACCGTACTGACATCTGTGGGAGGGAAGGAGCCAGAGGTGTGCTGAACAGTCTAAGGAATGGAAACAAGTATGCTAACCCCCCTGAATACCGGAAACTATCGTGAAGGCACAGGGATTCAGGACGTGACGATCCAGTTGCCCCAACTACTCTTGCTTAGGCCATGCTTAGAGCCATAAAGAGCTCAGCGAAACCTGCAGGCAATCTGGTGGCGGGGAATGAGCACACTGTGAGCCCCACCTTAGCTACGTGTTAAAGGGGAAGGCAGAAACACAACCCATATTTCCTTTAGAACTGGTACAAGGCATTCCTAGCTGCTGCCCGGGGAGGTAGGTAATCCACAGACACCCCAGCACCACAATGCCATAAATATGAAGAGTATTGTCCAGCAGTTAGAAGATTATGATCTCATTTGGAAGACCTGGGTTCGAATCCTCAGTCATGAGATTTTTAATTTTGGGCAAAAATAAGTTTACAACTTAAACAATTTTTGGCGACTGATCTAATCACGTGGCCTTAAATCCTTAGGCAAAAATGACCCATATGCTCACGCCACACTGTAATAAGGGACAGCAAGAGATAGTTTTGTAAACCAATGAGTGAAACAGAATATTCTGTGCTGAATCAGTGCACTCACAACACAGTGATTTGAAAGTCTAGAAATCATCAGGAAATTTGCAATATCTTATAAACAAAGACTTTCATTATGAAGTGTAAAAAAAAAGTCAAACTGATCAAATTCACTGCCCTGGGTTATTCTTAATGGCTTGGCTTGGTCTCTCTTTGCAGAAAGGCTGGCAAGCCATCTGCCGAGTGTGTCACACAAAGTACAAACTCTGTAGCTCCAGCCATGATCCTTAGGGATCTCGGTATAACTGCACCTCTGAACTGAACGATGCCTCCATGAAATGAACCCTCGACTTTCAGAGTGTGAAGCAAATGGTTTGACCACCAGGGTGACACGACCACTTCACCAAGGTGACCCCCCTCCCCCAAACATACAAGACTGTAAATGCATACCACAAAATGTGAGCCATGGTTATGCAGTGGCTAAATGCCTGCTTAATGCTAAAGTCTTGGGTTCAAATCTGCACTGAGTTGGACGTTTTAAAAAATTGACTTTGGCTTTCAGGCCAACCATGCCTAAAATTGTACCTGGTAATATCCTGGAAAGTTAAACATGGTTGGCATGATGTATACCATCATCATCATCATGTAGCAGGTCCTTTGCAGAACGTCGCTCTTATCACGTCTGCCTGAAAAATACTCGGTCTCTCACCAGCTCTCCCGCCTCATGCACTTTCACACTCAAGGAGTCACCTATATCCTATGCCCATCTTTGACTTGGTCGGCCACTGCACCTCTTTCCTGGTACCACACCCTCTGCTATTATTTTGTCCAATCCGCCGTGGCGCTTGATATGACCAAAATATTTCAGCTTTGGAGACAGGATACTGTTTATTAGCTAATCTTCCTTGATGTTCAGACTGTTGAAATCTAAGTGTTTCTCCTCTTCTTTGTCCATGATATCTAGAGAATCTTTCTATAGCATTTCAGCTCAAAAGCCCCTATTCTCTTTCTTAAGGACTGGGTCATAGTCCATTACCTTATGTTGCAACAGGGAAGATGCATGCTCTCAAAATTCCAATTTTGATCTCCTTGCTGGTGCTTAACCATAGACTTTTAATGCTAGCCATCCTCCTTTTCATTTCTGTTGAACAGTCTCCATTGCTGTTTATTATAGAGCCTAGATATTCAAAGTTTGTGACATTTTCAATTTCTTCATCATTTATTGTTATTTTTGGGTGACGGCCAGTTTAATCTGTGGACATAATTTTCTTTAAATTCAAGAACAGATTTTGATCTTCACTGTGCTTTTGGACAGACCATATTAAATTTTCTATTCCCTTTGCGCTGTTCGAAAGGAGGATATAGACCACATAACACAAAAAGTGCAGACTAGTCTGCAAAATATGAGACAATGGCCAATTCCCCATTGGCATTAAAAGGGCTCCTTTACATTAAAAAAAAATAATCACAATTTAACATGATTACAGGAGAGAGAAAAAAACACAAGCACACATTGTGGACGGAAGTATTTTAATAACAAATGAATACTGATTAATATGATTATGCATATTTAAAAGAAAGTGAATCAGACCTTATATTCTGGACAAATTCTTCTTCTTTGAAGAAAAAAGAAAGAAGTATATTCTGGACATATAAGAACTATAGCATTATAAATGCACTTCCTAATTGGTTATAATGTAGTCTCTGGCAAAGCCTTGGAGGCATTTATATCATGCTCTGAATGGGGTGGATTTTGTTTAGGATTCTACTATTTAAACAATGCGGACACAAACAAAACACTGCACAATATCCCGAGTAAATTTTGCTGTATCTCTTAAGGTGCATTTCTACAGTCTTATCAACATACAGTGAAGTACAAAAATAGAATCCTTTCCACTGAAATACACAAATCACTATGTCTTCTCTAGATAAACAGTTCATCTCACGACTGGAAGATAGTCACGTGACTTCCATGGCAATATCAAATTTACCACCTGCTCATTTTCACTGTACAATGTAGAATTTGTTTGCTTTTATTGTGCCAGCTTCCACCAATTTTAGCAATCATCTTTGCAATGAATTGTTTGTGTCCCCATTATTTAAATTCACTCCAGGAAAACATTGTTTTGAAGTCTACTCTTTAGTTTGCAAGTGCCTATGTTTAGAAGGTTCACGAAGGTGGGGGATCATCGATGGAGCAATGAAGTTGACATATTTTGTGCAATGCTTTCAGGCAATAGTTTAAAAAATGTTGTGGCAGACTCTCAACACAGGTGACCAAATTATTAAGGAAAGAATTCTCTTTAGTCCCACAGTAGTCACTGCTCTAAAAATGTAAACTGCTAGAATTTCTTGTATACTAAGTCACATAAAAGGAGATAGGGTGACCACTTCTCCTCCTTTAAGTTTTTCCTTTCCAAATTGTGAGACAAAAATCTGGTAGCCCTTTTTATGCGGCTGAGTTAAACCCAAAGTTCATGCTGATTCAGGAGAACATTCCAGTACTCATCATCATCATGTAGCAAGTCCTTTGCAGAACGTCACTCTCATCACGATCTGCCTCAAAGAAACTCAAGTCTCCCACCTCGTGCACTTTCATATTCAAGAATTCACTTATGTCCTGTGCCAATATTCAGGTTGGTTGGCCCCTACCAATCCTTCCTGGTACCATGCCTTCTGTTATTATTTTCTTTCCAGTCCGCCATGGCGTTTTGTATGACCAAAATATTTCAGCTTCTGAGATAAGATGCTGTTTATTAGCCAATCCTTCTTGATGTTAATATCTTCTAAAATGTCTTCATTTCTCCACTTCTTTGTCCATGATTTTCTGAGAATCTTTTCTATTCTATAGCATTTCATCTACAAAGCCCTTTTTTTTTTTTATGGCTGGGAGATAGTCTATGACTCACATCCGTATGTTGCTATAGGGTAGAGCTTGCTCTTAGAATTTTAATTTTGATTTCCTTGCTGGTGCTTAACCAGAGAATTTTAATGCTGTTTAATCTTTTTATTGCAATGGCCATCATCCTTTTGATTTCTGTCAGTCTCCTTTGCTATTTATTATAGAGCTTAGCTATTCAACGTTTGTGACATTTTCAATTTCTTCATCATTTATTGTTATTTTTAAGTGATAGCCTAAATTGTCTGTGGACATTATTTGCATTCTCTTTACATTCAAGAATTGGTTTTTGACCTTCACTGTGCTTTTGGACAGACATAAACTTGTATATTCCCTTTAGGCTGTTCGAAAGTAGTAATGTATTATCTGCGTAGCGAAGTTAAGGAACAGGCTTGCCACCAATTATGAGCCAGTTACTGTCACAAGTCTGGTCATTTTTAACATTTCTCATTGTTTTCTGTATATATATTATTGAACAGGTGTGGTGAGAGAATGCACCCCTACCTCACTCCCTTCTGACCCTTGAACCAATCCGATGTTTCACCAGCTGCTCTGATGGCTGCTTGTATTCCACCACTACAGGGGTTAAAGCCAGAACTAAAATAGCTCAGGAAAATATTCTGCCACTATAGGGATGCAACCCAAAAACTTACTGATGAACGAAAACACTCCACCGCTATAGGGGTTGAATTTAGGAATATATTGGGTCGGGAAAGTATTCTGTGTCAATGAGGCTTGACCCCCAGAAGCTCACTGGATCAGGCAAACATTTGTGCCACTATGGGGCTTAAACCTGATCCTCGTTGGTAAGCAAGCTAAGCACTATATACAACAAAAGCTCCTTTGCATGAGGCTATTTCAAATTGTAAAATCAGGTGGGTGTGGCCAAAAAGCGCAGAGGTCACAACCTAGCTGTAAAACAACCCAACATGCCAAGCTCCCTTTCAACAAAGAAGAAGATATAAAAAATATACTGAATGCTGACGCACATGAGAACATTCCTCCATAGCAAATGAAACCCACAAGCTGTAACCTTTACTTTCTCAATTACATAAAGAAGACAAATACTGTCTCTCCTAAAGATCTCAGGAACAAAAAGACATACAATATTGTTAAATAAGGCTTCACACAAAATACAATTGTAAAGTCAAAAATAAAAAAGTACTGAGGATGAAGACAGTAATTCAAGATAAATTTGTGTGGATTCATACTTGAGGCACAATGTAATACATTATATATATAGATTATCATCCACAGACAAAAAATAATAATGTAGAGATGCATGATAAAACATTTCAATGGCAAGACTGGTTCCGAGAAATGAATGTACAATATCACACTCGACAAATGCAGTCTGCATATATTATATAATATTCAGTTTTGTCTTTGTCACACCTTGCCACCTATTTAAATAAAATCTTTTGGCCTCGTACATTCTGCGTAAGAACATACTTAACTCTTAAATGATATGAGGAGGATAGTCACATGTTTGGCCATGGAGACCACATATTCTTATTTTGTGTGTGTGCCCTTTGTCTCTCAAAATGACTAGCAACCTGTTCTTTGCTGCCATATGCGACTCATCTGATGATTTCTCAGTCTGATTTCTCCTGGTCTCAAAATGTCCACTTTAAAAAAAAGTATATGTTTATTTCTTTGGCCCTTACAGTTTGAAAGCTACTTCTAGGTTTTTCTACCAGTGTTATTAGGGTGCTGAGTGGTCTGGAGGTATGGCATCTGCTACGAGTGCTGGATGTCCTGGATTCAAAACCTGGTGAAGGCAGGGATATTTTCATGCGGACTTCTAGTAATTTTCCCCTGGTCTCTGAGTAGTAAGACCGGATGCTCGTGTGTATTGCTGCGCACGTAAACAAAAATACCTTGGCAGCTGAAAATCGAAAAAGAGTAGCCTAACGGCGCTGCCCGGGCACCAGAGTTTGCGCACTGTGCTTAGATTCTTCAGACTCAGGCTTGAGTTAGAAGTAGAACGAGGCACTTATGGGTTAGGTTAGACCCGTGTGCCATGATGTTGATCAACTGAATAAACATATGTGTTATCAGCAATAACATACTGAGTGGACATGAGGACTACAAGACTGAGAAAAATAAAAACAGTACAGATCACTTAAGGCAATCCTGGATGTGGTGAATTTCTGTTGTGAAGAACCATTTGTTTATCCTTGGCAAGTTTTCTTGCCTGAACTCTTATTTGGATAAGAGGAATTTCTGACAAGAAGAAAAGAACCATTTCTTAGGTCCCTGCTGAGTTCTTCTCATCAGGTCTGCACTGTTTTCACTACAATGTTGAGGTTAAAAAATATCTAACAACCTTAACACACAACACACGGGGCAGCACTGACAGCAGGTCAACTAAAGACTTCACTGTAGAGATGGCACTGGATGAGCCACTGATATTTAATATGCTTTCTGACACCATTCCCTATAATGTTCCATGTCTGGAGGAGTGGCTGTCCGAGCGATTACAACGTCTGCTCTCATGCAGGAGACCTGAGTTCAATCCATGGTAAGGTGATAGAGTTTCTCTGTCGCGGGGGGGGCCTACAAATTAAACATCCTAACCTGCACAGTCCATGGCAACAGCACTAGCTATGCGGCCCTAAATCCTCAGGCTCAAGGCCTTCCCCCTGCTCCGGTCTACACCACTCTGTGTAAAACAGACAGTGGTGACAGTTCAGTATTCCACTGTGCTGTAGGTAGATAAGGAAATCAATGAAGTTCCCCCTCTCCACAGCAAAAAAGTTTGTATTGGAAATACAAAATAATAAAAAAAAAAAAAAAAAAATTTCTGAACTTTCCTACCATCTTTCTTCTTCTTCTTCTTCCGCCATTTATCCCTCAAAGAAGCATGTCCTCAACCAGCTCATCCAATCTTTCGCTGTCTCCTGCAGCTCTTCTCCTCCCCATATTATTTATCTCATCTCTGATTGTCTTTTCCAAACATGCTACATAGCCAACCCAACATCCTTTTCAAAGCTAATACATATAAAAATAGACATATTTTTGTGGTTAAGTATGGTGTCATTCAGTAGACCTTTGTGGTGAAAATATTTGCAGATTTAGCCAATTCCAACTGTGTGGATAGACCTCGGACCTTGTCTGACCAGTAGTCGCTGCTCTGCTGAAGCTGGATTTATAGCTGAGGAAACAAATCAATCAGGGATTGTGTCTTTTTAGAAGAAAAAAAAAAACATCAGAAATAACCACATAATACACAACAAAACAGAGTGATGGAGTTGCAACACAGTGGTGGGGCCCTTCTCAACTCTTTGAGTTATAGTCATGTATTACTTTTAACTCGCTCTACCCTAAGAAGTTGTTATTTTAAATAATCAATTCTTGGATCTAAAAAAAAAAATTTAAAAAATCCAAAATGACAAGTTTCATTATACAACAGAATAGAGTGATGCTGTTAATAAATAGAAGCATGATCTCATTCCACTTAGTCTCAATGGGTGACGATAGCTTGGTACTGAATACACTTGTATCTGTTTAGAAGCTGCCAGCTAGCATGCTGACCTAGAGGTCGTGTGTTTAAATTCTCGTTGAGAAAGGGATTTTTGTAATGGATCTGGAATACCAGGTTCTTCTTCATGTTCAAAGTCTTGTGGAAAGTTCTGGTTGTTCGTCCACTTCTCGACTCTGGTCTTGATCCAGAACCTGAGTTTTGACTGCACATCCTTTTTACAGATCTGGCTTTTTTAAAATGCAGACTGATTGTTCTTTGTCTTTCAGGGAGATTCACTCAAACTATGAAGAAAACAAACCTAATTAGAGGCCTCCTATGACATGCTTCGCTCTCCAAAATGGAGATAGGAAACACACATGGGGAGAATACCAGGTTGAGATAGTCTAAAAGGGGTATCAGAAATTGTTATGGAAAATACAGGCATCCAACATGATACTGATCATATAACACATTCAGTGGTACAGTATCTGGTTTAAAACAATAGGGGGGCAGATAACATAATTATCATGTGCCCTGCCCAACGACGTAGGCGCTCCTGTCTCTCTGCAGATCTCCATCCTTGGTATTTCGAATGAATTGTACCGATGACACTCCACCATACCATCGCTTTCGACAGTCTCTCTTGGTCTGCCTCTGTGTCTTCTACCACCATACCATCGCTTTCGACAGTCTCTCTTGGTCTGCCTCTGTGTCTTCTACCACTGATCTTCCCAGTCATCACAATGTTCTCTCATGAATCAAAACAGTACCATCACACATAGTTCATTGCGAGAAAAGAGGTCACATGCTTTTTTTTTCAATATTCTGTCGAGTCCACTTAAGCCGAACTTGGATAAGCCGAATTTCGGTTAAGTCGACATGACCAGCTTAGTTCCGGCAATTTTCTCTATTGTCTGTGCTGTCTGGATAAGTAGAAGTCCTGATAAGTGGAAGCATTTTCTTAGGTCCCTGCGACTTCTACTTATCCAGACTCGACTGTATACCTTAGTATGTGAAATGGCAGTCGGAGTAGCCGATGATTAGATGCTTCTTCGCCCACCCAAAGATCTTGGTTTTTCAATTTGCTTGGACATATTTTGGGGTTAAAAAAAAAAAAAAACTACCTTGGCCTCCATTTCTAGTCAGCAAAAAAAAAAAAAAAAACTACCTTGGCCTCCATTTCTAGTCAGCCCAAAAAAAAAAAAAACTACCTTGGCCTTCATTTCTAGTCAGCAAAAAAAAAAAAAAAAAACGACCTTGGCCTCCATTTCTAGTCAGCCAAAAAAAAGGGCAGCAGGTAATGTCCTAGGAAGTAAGAATAAACTCACAGGGAGCAAGTACAGCGGGGATCTACAGTCATCAGTAGAAATTATCCTCGTCGACACACGTTTCGGCCCACGATTCCTAAACGTATTCGGAGGTGGGCCCACCTGAGTTCATGAAGCTCAGGGCTGCTTCCCCGCTGCACAGAATTACCGGATGGTGTTATTATTTCGGCCAGAGACAAGACGACTTAGTGGTTTCGAAGGAGGTACTGTGAGATAAGAAGCCGCCGCGACAGCGTAATTAAAACAGTCCGCATGCCTGGACGACCGAGCGACAAGCTTACTTTGGTTTACCGGACACATGTTGGACTTTTTTAGCAGTTGGCAGAGGGACACTGGCAGACAATTCGTACACGATGGACTTTCAAAGGGATGAGAAACTCCTTTCCGCTAGACACCCGGACCAGCTCACCGAGGCCCGTCCCCTACGTTGTTGCGCTGCGTCCAAAGCCAGCTAGAGGCCCTTTCGGCTGCCTCTCCCAGTTTTTTGAGTGTTGGTTTCCGTTCATTACCGCGCAATCCTAGTTCTTTCACCACATTGTAGAGCGAAGTGGAAACGAGGCCTCTCGCTCCCACTTCGACGGCAAAAACCTGTACTGTGTAAGCCTCGTTTCTCCTCAAACCGGCTGCTAAATCACTGTATTTCTCGAGCTTATACAAATGATTCTCCTCCATACGCGACTCAAACGGGACCGTCAACTCAATCAGGATGAGTTGCCGTTTTTGCGCAGAATGGAGAACGATGTCCGGTCGCAGGCCGGTTTTACGGATCAACTCGGGATACCGTTCATGTCCTGGCAGATCAACCGCCAGTAACCAGTCCCTCGCAGAGTCTAGCACAGATGGAGCGAATGCGTTTTGGTTGACCTTACCTTTTGGAACCTGCCCAGCCTTGAGGAAACGAATGGGGACGATACTAGAACTGGCTCTGGCATTAGCCCTCATTCTAGCCTGGTCGACAACGGCTGCTAACTCCTTTAGCACCTTGTTGTGGCGCCAGGTATAGCGGCCTTGGCCTAGAGCTTTCCTGCACGCGGACAGGACGTGCTCAAGAGTTTGCTTTGATTTGCACAACGGGCAAGTCGGATCGTTGGTCGCAGACCATTTAACCATGTTAACACCGGACGGTAATACATCGTACGCCGAACGAACGATAAAGCTCAGTCGCAGCGGGGTCATCCGCCAGATCTCACCCCATGTGAATATTCTAGGCAATGCGCTCTCCAGGCTGACCCAATGGCCCTGCTGCGACTGCTGGGCTGCTTTCTGAACCCGAACCTCGTTTTCGTTGTCCCTCACCGTTTGTATCACCATGTCTCGGCGTTCTTTGGCTGAGGCCTTTGACCACCAATTGACTTTCCCGTGCCCTAGGCCTCGACGGTCGGTTTGTGTGTAACCCATTATCTCCTTCAATTTTAGTGCGTTCTGAGCAGATTCTATCGCATCGAGGACCCTCCACTTCTGACCAGTCTTTAGAGCGGGCTGGACAGCGATGACATTTGGGTCTGAGGACTCGCGCAAAAGCATGGCGAGCCTAACTTTGCCGACTTTAAACTCTTCGGTTATCGACTTGAACGGAAGTACCAGCTTAGCCTGTTTACAATACAGAGCCACGCCGGTCAGACAAGGCGGTGCACCAATCCACTTTCTTAAGGCTGTGTTGATTTTCTTTTCCCTGGTTTCCACTGCAGTCATCGTCACCTCGTAGACTAGCAGTGGCCATAGGAGCTTCGGAATCAACATGAATTGGAGACACCATACCTTGAATTTTCCGATCAGCCTGCATCGCTCGATCGCGAGCAGGCCTGTAGCCAGTGACTCATGTATTCGCCGGACTTCCGCTCTGTCAGATAGCTTCGAATCGTAAACGCGACCGAGACTCTTCACCGGTTCCTCCAGAACCGTAGGGATCTTGTTCCTTGCCACCGTAAAACTGGTCGCCGACACTTTGCCCTTATGGATTGACAGACTCCTCGACTTCTGCGGTTTGAACTGCATACCGCTCCATTGGACCACCGCGTCCAATCTTTTCAGGATCGTGCAGGCAGACTCCTCGCTGCCCGTTATAATAGTCGTGTCATCCATAAATGCGCGTAGTGGCGGCAACCAGTGATCCCCTATTTGAAGGCCCTGTCCGTAGCCGGCCGCCCCGTCTAACATGATCTGCATTGCCATGACAAACAGTATAGGTGAGATCGTACAGCCCATAGCTATCCCAATCTGCAACTCAGTCCACCTCGTGGTAAACGTCGAGGTAGAGAAGCGCAAAGCGAACTTGGAGAAATACTGCTCGATCATTTGACTGAAGTAAAAGAAGTCATCGTGATGTTGACCCTATCAGCCACTAGTTTATAAATATACACAAGTCTAACATCATATGCCCGATGTGCCATTGGCATAAAAAGGGTCCTTCCTGTACCTTCACATTTATTATGTAAAAAAAAAAATATGACACTTCTTCTTCTTCTTCTGCGTTCGATATCAGTCATGCTAAACATTGTGTCCCGTCTGGGTCACAAATAGGATTGTGCGTTTAAGGTCGCCACCGGTCCCCCAAAGCTTCTCCTGCAATGTGGCTCCTTTGGGCCAGATCCACAGTCTTTGCTGGGAGAGGTAAGGGCAGTACTGCAGTATGTGTTCAGGGGTTTGTCTTTCTGCTCCACAATCACAGGCAGCAGATTCTTTTATGCCTATCCTGTACAAGTGTGCTCGAAGACCACAGTGTCCAGTCCGAAGTCTAAGAATTGATGTTTGTTCTTTCCTGTTGAGTTTGTTTATGCTGTCACTCTCTGGTCTGTAATCTCCATTCTGCCTTCTCCACTCCCGCTTGAAAGACTGCTTTAGCGCTGTTTTGGTTTCCTTGTAGCTGTGTGGTGGATGAGGTTGTGGAAGATTACTCCCAGCTTTTGCCAACTCATCTGCTCTCTCATTTCCTTGAATACCACAGTGGGCTGGTATCCACTGCAAGACCAGTTCTGCTTCCTTGGAGAGTAAGCCAATGTTGGTCCTTAGATCAGCAATTATTTTGTCTTGTTTTTTGCTGGATAGTGCTTGGAGAACAGACAATGAGTCGCTAAGTATAACAATTTGGTGCCCTCTGTGTTCTTGAGTGATGAGGTGTTGGACTGCAGAGAGGAGGGCAGTTGCCTCAGCTCTGAAGTTAGTGCAGATGTCACCTGCTGGTAGAGAGAGAGTTTCTGCTCTACTGCTAGGGGGTTTAATGTAAATTCCACAACCCCCCTTTCTGACTGCATCTGTAGCAGAGCCGTCGGTGAAAACCTGAGTCCAAGTGGTGTTTGGATACTTCTCATCAAGCATAGCAAGAGCCAGGGTTCTCTGTTGTGTCTCCGTCTG